TTATATTTCGGTCCATCAGACGCTGCCAGGTTGCACCTCAGACTGTCCAGGAGCTCAGTAATGCCCTGGTCCAGATCTGGGAGGAAATAGCCCAGGACACTATCCATACAAACTACTGAGTACTATTTTGAGTTGTTGCAATTAAATTTTCAGCAAAATGGATGAGCCTGCTGCATCAGTTTTTCACTTTGTTTTTCTGGGTGTCTTTGAATTCAGTCCTCTGTAGGTTGATAATTTTAATTTCCATCCAACAATAGGGCATCCTTATGTTCCCAACACATTATCCAGTCCATATCAGTATAGATATTCAGTATGATATTTTTCCCCATTGAGATCCGTGTTTTCAAAGTGTTCCTTTACTTTTTTCAAGCAGTGTATTAATCACTTGCAGACCGTAAAAACAGCCATGGCCAGCCGTAGGTTGAAGTGATTATACTTTCTGTTAGGCAGCAGCCAGCACGGACTTTTTTCTTAGTAAGCACACTCACTGTTCTGGGGCAGCGCTAGTATGCAAGAAAGCATTGCCAGTGGGCATCCTCAGCAACTGGGGAAGGGGAAACCAGTCGAGAAATGTAGGATAGATGTTCTGGATGCTGACCCTAGCAATACCCCTGTCCGTGGAGGGATGTAGTTAGATCTCAGAAAAGAATTATTGGTCCTGGACCATAATATCTGGTGGACAGGAGTAGGGACATTTATGAAGGTTACATGGTGATACCACAAGTGGAGATTTTACAAGCGATACATGCCAACCATGCGAGCGGAAGGCATGTGGGTCTGGTGAGTGTATACTCAGAAGGAAAGGCTGTTTCACAAGCCCTATGTGAGTTTTGGTTTGGGAATACAGAGAAAATAAGATTACAGCACTGAAAGTAACATCTGTATGTTATGATGGACTTTATTTTTACATTAGCTGATTGATTTATATCACAATTATTTCATCACTGGAGAATATGTTTCTTTCACTAGTTGGTCACAGCACCACTGGATTATTTATGTATAGTTATTTTATTTAAGGTGCCAGCAGTGATCATTGTTTATTATCACTTTCTGGAGATTATTTATACATTAGATTTGAGCACACATTCAGCGCAAGAGTTTTTGGCTGTGTTATACCGGGATAATGCCTGCACTTGCAGGCATCATCCCAGTATCACATTTTGCAACCAGCGATTCCCTGTAGGGCAGAAGGGATTAGAGTGGCTGCATTTAATGGATGCCAGCTCTCTTCATAAAGGGACCCTGCCACAAGGGATGTTGTTCATCCCTTCTGGTAGCCATAAAGTTGAGAAAAAAAAATATTGTGTAAAAGAAAAAGTTTTGTATAAAAAAAAAAAAAATCTAAAGCGCCCCTGTCACCCCCCACCCACTGTGCAAATGTGAACGCATACATAAACAGTGATCACACAACACATGAGATATTGTCACAAACCTCAGAATGAGAGCAATAATTCTAGCACCAGACCTCCTCTACATCTCTAAACTAGTAACCTAGAACAGGCGTTTAAAGTGTCACATATGGTGAATTTTCAAGAGGAACTGCAGTCAAGCACATTGGGGTTCATTTACTAAAGCTGGTTTCCTCAGAATCTGGTACACTTGTGTATTGTTGCCATTCAGCTTCTAACCTCACCTTGTTTAACTAAGCTTTAGCAATAAAAAACCTGTAATCTGATTGGTTTTTATGCAGAAGTGCAGGAGATTCTGAGTGAACCAGCTTTAGTAAGTAAACCCCACTGTGCCAAAATAATACAACCATAGGCAGTGTAAACATCGTAAAGCTCCATTAGGGATTAGTAGTCTAAGCTTACATTTACTGTGTTAAAATGCCTATTTCATCCCCTCTCCCCCCTTGTACTGTGGGAAAATGAAGCCCTATGTACAGAGTTTCAGGAATACTCAGGCTCACTCCGCCTCACCATGCTACCGAAATGTTGAGCATGCACAATGAAAGGGCTCGAGGTTGAGTATGTGCAATAAAAGAAGTGTTCCTCAAATCTCCTGTGACTTCCCTCATCCCTCCCACCACACTCAGAGAGAAAAAAAAAAAATGGCTTCTGGGATACCTGACGTTTCTAGCCCAGGAGGCGCCACGAGTGCAGAACAGAATGTAACCTAGGGCAATTACAAGGCAAGAAAGAGGAAGTAAGCTAAATAAGGTATTTAAGGGCAGAAAAATAACTACAAAAGTTAAAAACAGCAAGGGCAGAAGATGTGAAGAAAAAAAAAATGAAAAAGGTCAGGTTTAAGTACCATAGTTTGGCACCATTCCACAGGCAGACGCAATTTTAAACCCCTTGACACCAACATAACACAAATGTGCAGCCTCACAGAACTGGGCTTTTTCCATGGGGCTGCATATTTGCGTACCGGTCTTTGTGCTGGGACCGCGCTCTCAGCACAAAGATAGCAGTGTCACTGAGAGCACCAGGTCCTGGTCTAACGATCAGGACCCAGGACTCCCAATTCCAGATCACACGATCGCTGTGAAAGCCTCTGATTGGCTATCACAGTGATCAGTCACTGTACAGCCCAGCCCCATTGTGTTTTTTTTTCTCTCTATGAATGGAGGAGAGAGATACATTGTATCTCTCTAACTCCTGGCATAGAGTGGGAAAAAAAAAAAAAAAAAAAAAAAAAAAAAAAAAAGGATAAATATTAAAAAATAAAAAAAACCTAGATCAAGGTTTGCTCTAGTTCAGTACCAGGGTAAATGTTTGGGTCAAGGTCAGGGACAAAGGTTAAGGTCAAAGGTCAGGATTAAAAAAATGCGCACTATTGTTTCTGACTCTACTACGGGTACAAATAACACACATATATGGTATCGCTGTGATCGGCAAGAGCTTGAAAATTTATTTTAGGTTGTTCTTTGGTGGCAGGTTATGGTACTAATTTTGAGCCAGTTTTCCTTTGATAAAAAAAAAAAAAAAAAAAAAAAAAAAAACACACAACAGGAGATATCTATTACCATTTACCACCAAATGAAAGCCCAATTTGTCCTGAAAAAAAATAAGGTATTAATTATCCACCTGGATGCACAAAGTAGTTGTGATGATATGTACGGTTTTACTAACATATGTCAACGTTGCAAAATTGTGCTTAAGCATTTCGATTTGTTTTACCATTAGGCATGAAGGGGTTAAAGTGTGACATGTTAGGCATCCCTTTACTCAGCATAACATCTTTTATATTTTACAAAAACATTGGATATTATATTGTGTTTATATGCAATAAAATTTGTTAAAGTGTAATTCCCCCCCCCCCCCACAAAAAAAATTGCAGTTTGAAAAACTAGTGCACAAATACCATGTGACAAATTGCAACACCCATCATTTTGTTCTATAAAAGGCATCTACTAAATAAATATATAATTCTAGGTAATTTTTTTTTTTTTTGCTAGAAAAAGGAGATTTTTACAAGTACGTGAGAAGTGTCAGAACTGGACCCATAACCAGTTGGTTAAAATAGACATTAAACCAAAAAGAAGAGTTATATTAAAAGAATACATATTTAGTTTGGGACCCGGAAAAGCACAGGCTGCTAACTAGCAATTACATCTTTTTTTATTGTATATTTCTTTGGATATTCCATCTTGAAAGCATCCCCTTTATTTATATGCAGAACAGACCTACCTCTACAGCATTCATTTTCTGCCTGTACCTATGTGGCCAAGAATAGCTGTGCAGGCATGGCATTAGAGGAGCTGCAGCCCAACCCTAATGTACCATGGAACAATTCATATACATTTGTGAATTGTACATTCATGTGGTAAGGTTTCAAAGAGTTCAAAAAGGAAAAGAAATAATTACAGGGTATGTTAGTTCTGGGTTCAGGCCCTACTCTGCTTTCTAAAACTCCTTGGAAACCCCGAGATCCTGGATTCATTATAACTGTTCATGTGTTCCTCTGATGCATCCACAAGGGGGTAGGTCACCACTTTACCAGCCAAGTGAGATATTTTATGGTCACAAAAAAGAGAAAGGAGCAGAGCCAGGACTTCAAGGAAAATCTTAAGGCAAAGGCATCTTATGGATAGTTCTTTAGGAGATGGGTGACCCACTGGCCAAAATTCCTCCCTTTTTACCCTCCACATCGCCCTTATATACTAGAACACACTTTAGATCAGATAACTGGCTTCTTATGTCTTAGCCTGTACTAAGTGCAACTTATTTCGCTCAGGAACAGGCTAATTAGCATAGGCTTGGAGGGGGAAGAAAAGAAAAAAAAAAAAAAAAAAAAAAAAAAAGGAGCACATTTCCTTATTGGCCTACTAGAAGGTAAACGCTGTAGGGATAGGCCAACATACATTCTCAATATAGGTTCTCCAAGGGAAAAAAAGAGGGGAAAAAAAAAAAAAAAAAAAAAAGCAACACCCAATATAATCTTAAACAGAGCAGTGCAGGGCCTTAACACAAGATATTTAGCCAAACAAAAAAAAAAGGAGCAGTGACATGCAGGCCAAATAAAGACAGTGTGCAAGATACAGATAGAAAAGCAACTTTTGTAAACAATATTCTAAGAGCACATTTCATCAGAATGTTACCCTGTGGAATATTATAGGAACAATTCTGTGTTATGACATGTCAGATGATGGAGTGACCACAAGGAAGCCAGAGGCCATAATGCACTTACATGGGATGGACAGATGCTGAGGATAAAAACTTTATTAACCAGAAGCATACCATCCAGAAATAAATACTGTAATGTGACACCATCATAAAAGAGGTGATTTCAACTCATTCTGTAAAAGTTTGTCTTACAGGAAGACAGTCCAGTGACAAGCAGGAATATGGTTTTGGAAAGTAACAGAATGAGCAATGGACATAGACTTTGATGCGAGAGGATCATGCAGTGCACAGGGAAATTAGGAGTGTGATGGGAGCGATTAGATGGTAATATAATGGAATAATCACACAAAAGATGAATGTTTTATGACAGAATGACTTTGCACTGTGCTGCTACAGTAGGAGGAAGAGACGGCTTATTGCCCCCTAATCAACTCAGAATCGGACAAAAGTTGCATCAATCTGGCGGACACAGGGCAGCGCCAGCATGATTTTGCGCCTGTATTGGTTATCTTTCTGCAGGGGATTCCTTTCCAGATACACGGTCTGCAAACCTTGGGCACCGCTTAATTCTTCTAAGTCTGCCCAATTATCCACCAAGTTGTCATTCATCTGTGATGAGAAAAAACACAAAACATGAATTTTTCAAACCAAACAAAATATGGCATTGACTTCTAAAGACCACTTCATTTTTAGGCTTACCTAACCATTTTCTACAAGCTATTAATATAATAAATAAATAAAAAAAAAAAAAAAAAAAAAAAAAAAAAAAAAAAAAAAAAAAAAAAAAAAAAAAAAAAAAAAATCGGGGAAAACTACTCGGGATGCACCGAAATTTCAGCCACCAAAACATATGTTGGTGCTGGTTTTTAAATTTAATTACCAGCTTTTTTTTCTTCTTCACTATAGCTCACAGAATTAGCTGTTACTTTCCCCCCAGCTAAAAGAAACAAAAAAGTTTCCTTTTAGTTTCTTTCCTGAGATGATAAAAAAAAAAAAAAAAAAAAAAAGTTTCCTTTAGGTCAGGGACAGGGAAAATGACAGCCAATTCTGTGAGCTATAGTGAAGAAAAAAAAAAAAAAAGCCAGCAATTAAATTTAAAAACCGGCCCTGACATTTAGGGGTTTATTTACTAAAGCTGGACAGTCCAAAATCAGACTCCCTTCTGCATAGAAACCAATCAGCTTCTAACCTCAGCTTGTTCAATGAAGCTTTGGCAATGAAACCTGGAAGCCGATTGGTTTCTATGCAGAAGTGAGTCTGAGTTTGGACTCTCCAGCTTTAGTAAATAAACCCCATAGTGACAGCCAGTGAGGGAGCCTCTCTGTATACCCTGCTCCCTCTCTGTATACACTGCTCCTCTCCTGTCCCCTCCTTGCACACACTGCCCCCAACCCCCTCCCCCCTACAAAGAGGACCTGTCACTCATATGCTATCACATAGGGGACTAAGATGGGATACAATGATGAATTCCTAAAACGCACCCGCATCTAATTGGGCCAACAGATGATAATTAGCATCACGGGAGAGTAATATAGCTTGATTAGGGTCAATCATATTTTGAACACCCCTTTCTGCAAAGTGCTGAAATTGCAAACCAAGGAAATATAATCTTGCATTAGGCACAGCAAGACCTCCACTATCATTAGGCAGTTGTAAGATGGGCAAACGAATTCTGGGATTCCTGAGGTTGCGAAAAAGGGAATCTGTTTAAACTATCTGCGTGGGATCCAGAGTTGTGCATAATACAGTGGGGGAACTAATTATTCGATCCCCTGCAGATTTTGTAAGTTTGCCCACTTAAAAAATAAATGAAGGGTCTATCATTTAATATGCACCTATGTTAAAAATGATAGAGACAGAATGTCAACCAAAAATCCAGAAAAAAAAAAAAACTACAATACAAAATGTTAGAAACCTTAAGGATTTAGAGATCTGTAAAGAAGAATGGACCAAAATCCCACCTGAGATGTGTGCAAACCTGGTAACCAACTACAAGAAACGTCTTACCTCTGATTGCCAACAAGGGTTTCTCCACCAAGTACTAAGCTGTGTTTTGCTTGAGGAACAAATACTTATTTTACTCACTTAACTGCAACTCAGTTTCTAACATTTTGTATCAGGTGTTTTTTTTTTTCTGGATTTTTGGTTGATATTCTATCATTTAAAATATACCTATGATAAAAATGATAGACCCTTCATTTCTTTGTAATTGGGCAAACTTACAAAATCTGCAGGGGATCAAATAATTATATTGCTCATTGTATATAACAGTAAGGAATCATTTTGCCAAGATTCGTTCTCCCCACCACTAATAAGTGTAATTTAGACCTAAACTACCCTAATCAAACTCACCAACGACCTACTAATCGCCAAAACCAATGGCCACTATACAGTACTCCTAATCCTCGACCTCTCTGCGGCTTTTGACACGGTTGACCACCCCCTACTCCTCAAAAAACTACACTCTTGGCCACAGAGACTCCGCTTTCTCTTGGCTCTCCTCCTATCACAGCGCTCCTTCAGTGTTACCTATAACGCTGCCACCTCCTCTTCACTCCCTCACTCCCTTCTGTTGGGGTCCCCCAAGGTTCTGTCCTCGGACCCCTTCTCTTCTCCATCTACACCTCCTCCCTTGGCCAATTGATAAATTCCCACGGCTTCAATTACTATCTCTTGCTGACGACACACAAATCTCTCTACCCCTCACCTCACCCCTTCAGTCTCTGTTCGTATCACAAGCCTACTAAGCGACATATCGGATTGGATGTCACTCCACTTCCTCAAACTCAATCTTTCCAAAACTGAGCTCCTAGTATTCCCCCCAGCCTGCGTCCCCCCCCCCCCTGACTTCCCCATCAAGACCAACAACACTATCATCAGTCCCACCCCTCAAGCCAGGGTACTAGGTGTCATCCTAGACTCTAATCTGTCCTTTCAGCCCCAGGTCCAAATCGCTGACAAACTCATGTAGACTTCACCTCCGCAACATCTCCAAAATACGATCGTTCCTAACCCCGGAAACCACTAAGCAACTCATTCACTCCCTTATTATATTACGCCTCGACTACTGTAACTCCCTCCTCACTGGCCTACCTCACAGCAGGCTATCCCCACTTCAATCTATCATGAATGCTGCTGCCAGACTCATCCACCTTACTAACCGTTCTGTATCTGCCACCCCTCTCTGCCAATCCCTCCACTGGCTTCCAATTGCCCAACGGATAAAATTCAAAACGCTAACACTGACGTATAAAGCCGTTCATAACACTGCCCCAAATTACATCACCGATCTGGTCTCCAAATATCACCCAAACCGTACTCTCCGCTCCTCACAAGACCTCCTACTCTCTAGCTCCCTTGTCTCCTTCTCCCATGCTCGTCTCCAGGACTTCTCCAGGGCATCCTCTGGAACTCCCTACCCCTAACCATCAGACTATCGCCTACTCTGCTCACTTTTCGGCACACTCTGAAAACCTCTCTTCAGGGAAGCCTACCCCGACCCCAGCTAATATTGAAATCCTCTACTCTTCCAACCACTCCATCCCCCACAGTTATTACCTCTTGTATCACTATTCCCTCCCTCCTAGATTGTAAGCTCCAAGGAGCAGGGCCCTCGAACCCCTCTTGTATTGAATTGTATTGTTACTGTACTGTCTTGTGTACTGTCTGCCACCATAATGTAAAGCGCTGAGCAAACTGTCAGCGCTATATAAATCCTGTATAATAATAATAAAAATAATAGACCAGGTCTTGCATTTAAGCTTAAATTTATCAAGGAGGGGCTGGAAGTTACATTGGAGATAATCTTCACACTATGATGAACCCATACCCCAAGGTATTTAAAAGAATCCACCACTTTATTCTGCTGCGCCCACTGCAGAAGCAGCAGTTGCTGGGCAGGACGACAGATTTGTCCCAATTGATGACAAATCCCAAGAAAGTCAAATGTTGTTATAATGCACATAGGGGAAGAGAGAGGACCTTTAACGTCTCCCAGATGCAACAACTAAGCATATATTTGAGGTGCTCTGCCAACTTGAGCCCTAAAGTGGAACTTATATAAAAGAGCCATTTAAAAATGTTTGCAATTTCCCAAGTTATACATACAACATTAATCCTATTTATTAAATTAGCCTGTGGTTTTATAATTGCCTCCACCACCCATTCTTTATTATCTGGGACTAATTTATTGCCAAAAAAAAAAAAAAAAAAGGGTATAGCCCAGGGAGAGTAGTGGCTTCGTCGCCAAGAGTTCTCTCTGCTTCTGAAGTTCTACACATGGGCATCTCATTCTATGCAATTTTCTGTGTACAGCTTGTTGTGTCACTTGAGATGCAATTGGGTGTCTGAGTCCTGCAAGAGTGGGAGGATGGTTCTTCACCAGTGCAGAGGGAAGTTAAGGAGAAGCAAGATAAAATGTTAGCTGACCTCTTGTTCCCTCTTCTTACCCTTCCCTCAGTAGCAGTGTGTGTCTCGCCATCTTGCTTCTTTCTCCTTAGTCCATGACAGACTGCATCTCATCTTTGCTCTTGATTTTCCCCCTACTCCCCTGGCAAAAACGTGTATTCATCTTCTCAACAGAGTCAGGTTCTTATGAGACTGCTCTACTTGTATGCCAAACATGTATTCTCAGCATAGTCAAAGAATACAAAAAAAAAAAAAAAAACCAACACACACACACACACGAGAAAAAATGTGGCTGTGCAGAGCACAGATAGGGCAAGAAGCTCATAAGGAACAAGTAAGGAGCTCAAAAGGAACACAAGTAAGGAGCTCATAAGGAACAAGTAAGGATGCCATTTTCCAATCAAATTAAAAAAGATACATGTATCTGCTTTATTTTAACGGTGATGAGAGAACAACCATTCTTCAACTAAAAGGACAAGGCTGCTTGATAAAGGAACCCACAAAACCTATAAACATGTCTATCAGTATATTGCCAGCACTGGTAGGGAACACTACTTCTGCTACAAATACAAGAGTAAAAAAATGGGAAACATTAGGAAGAACCTACCCAGAATTCCTGGAGTTCTGTCAAATGCCTGATATTTTCAATTCTCTTTATTCTATTAGAAGCAACATCCAAAGTAGTGAGCTTTTTCTGAAGACAAGAAGAAGAAAATGTTAAGTCATAACTGTGATCAATTCCCACATAAAGTAATCAGTGACCAAGTGACACATTTTCAGCCAGTCTCCTACAATCAGCTCAGAGCCCATTCAGTAACTCACATTGTTCTCCAGACCCTCCAAAACTTGGATGCCATTGTCACTTAGGTAGAGCTCACGCAGATTCACAAGACTCTGTAGGCCTTCAATCTTTGTAAGGCGATTACTCTGAAAACAAGAGAATGACAGAGGAATACTTACAAACTGACAGATGTACAGCAATAACTAAATTTCTGGTAATGCCATCTTACTACCTCTGCCATTTGTTCCATTGGTCATTTTTAAATAAATAAATGCCTATATGAAAAACATAACCAAGAACATAATCTTGGCAATGTTTTTTTATATGTTCCATTGAGTTTAATCTGAATGCAGTTTACTTTTGACCAGATCCAAGTTTTGGAATGGACCAACTAGATCCCAGACCTGAATCCAATTGAAATCTGTGTGGGATGACCTGAAGAGGGCTGTGCAAAAAGAGAAGCCCTCGCAATCTGACAGATTTGGAGCACTTTTACAAGGAAGATTGGGCAAAGGTTCCCAAGGCAAGATGTACCATGCCGATAGAGTCCCACCAAAAAAGGCTGAATGTGGTCATATCATCAAAAATTGTTTAAGGGTGTGCACATTTATGCAACCAAGTTATTGTAAGTTTTTTGTTTTTATCCCCCCCCCCCCTTTAAACATGTCAGTGGGTTTCTAATTGAATTACACAATTATTATAGGAAAAAAGTTACCTTTTCACTGCCAGGGCTGTTTTTTGTATTTCTTGCATTATGTTTAATAATTTTAGGAATGAAGATTGCAAAAATCCCCAAAACATTAGATACTTTCTGAAAGAACACACCCCAGAAATAAAAATAACAGTAGCTGCAAGTTTTAAATGTCACATAATATTACCACATAGGTCTAGGAAACACAAACTTTCAGTAAAAAGCACACTAAATTTAATTTTAGGTCACAAACGCAATAAGTTACCCACATTTTTGACTAAATATAACAGATGAGGTTGTGCCGAGTAAACAGATACCTAAACATGATAAACCTTCATTTTACGTGCACCAGTGAAATGGCGACAAATTTCAGTACCCTATTTTTTTCTATAGGCAATGCTTTAAAAGCCCCTGTAGGTCATCAGTTTAGCATTGTGGAAGAGATGGTGCTAGAAATATTGCTCTCACTCCACCATATGTGTATATTTGTTGTTTGTACCCAAAAGAAGGCTCACAAACAATATTGTGCATTTTGTTTTGTTTTTTTATATCCTGCCTAAAGCACGCCGACACCAATCTTTGACCCTGATCCCAACGCTAACCTTAACAACAATGACCCATCGCAAACTCTGATCTACCTATTTTTTATTTTTACACAAGCTTTCTTTCCTCTTACAAGTAGAAAACAAAACACACACGGGTGGGCTATACAGTGGCTGATAACAGAGAGCTGCAGGATCATGTGACTTGAACAGACTGAAAATAGGTAAGTTACATAGTTAGTCTGGCGGAAAAAATACAAGTCCATCTAGTTTAACCAAAAAAAAAAAAAAAAAAGTTAATTATAATCCTATACCCACAGTTGATCCAGAGGAAGGCAAAAAACCCCAGCAAAGCATGATCCAATTTGCTCCTGCAGGGAAAAAAAATTCCTTCCTGATCCCCAGAGAGGCAATTGGATATTCCCTGGATTAACTTTACCTATAAATGTTAGTATCCAGTTATATTCTGTGTATCTAAGAAAGAATCCAGGACTTTTTTTTTTAAAGCAATCCACTGAGCTGGCCAGAACCAACTCTTGAGGGAGTCTAGTCCACATTTTCAAAGCTCTCACTGTGAAGAAACCTTTTCGTGTTTGGAGATTAAATTTATTTTCCTCCAGGCGTAAAGTGTGCCCCCTTGTCCTCTGTGATGACCTCAGGGTGAATAGCTCTACACCGAGTTCACTATATGAACCACTGATGTATTTATACATGTTGATCATATCCCCCCTTAATCTCCTCTTCTCAAGAGAAAATAAATTCAGTTCCTCTAATCTTTCCTCATAGCTGAGCTCCTCCATGGCCTCTTATCAGTTTGGTTGCCTTCTCTGAACTTTCTCCAGTTCCCCAATGTTCTTTTTGTGAATTGGTGCCCAAAACTGAACTGCATATTCCAGATGAGGGATACTAATGATTTGTACAGGGGTAAAATTCTCTCTCTCTCTCTCTCTCTCTCTCTCTCTCTCTCTCTCTCTCTCTCTGGAGTCTATATCTCTTAATACAAGAAATGATTTTGCTCGCTTTAGAAACCACAGCTTGGCATTGCATGCCATTATTAAGCTTGTGATCTACCAGAACTCCCAGATCCTTCTACACCATTGATTCCCCCAGTTGTACCCCCCCTAGTATGTATGATGCATGCATATTCTTAGCCCCCAAATGCATAACCTTACATTTATCAACATTAAATCTCATTTGCCACATAGTTGCCCAATTAAACAGTGCATTAAGTTTGGCTTGTAAATTGGAGACATCCTGTAAAGACGTTATGCCACAGCACAGCTTGGTGTCATCTGCAAAGACTGAAAGGGGATTTTTAATCCCAGACCCTATATCGTTTATAAAATGTATTAAAAAGTAAGGGTCCCAACACTGAACCTTGGGGTACACCACTGACGACCCTAGACCATTCAGAGTATGAATCATTAACCACTACTATCTGAATACGATCTTTTAGCCAGTTTTCTATCCATTTACATACAGATTTTTCCAAGCCTGTAGACTTTACCTTACACATTAGCCATGTGTGGGGAACTGCGTCAAATTCTTTAGCAAAATCCAAGTATACCACGTCCACCACCACCCCTCTGTCCAAGGTTTTGCTCACCTCCTCAAAAAGAAATCAGATTTGTTTGACAACTTCTGGTCTTTCATGAATCCATGCTGTCGGTTGCTTAAAATATTTTTTCCAGCAAGAACTCATCTATCTGGTCTTCCAGTATCTTCCCAACTATAGGAGTTAAACTAACAGGTCTATAATTACTTGGTAAAGATTTTGACCCCTTTTTAAATATTGGCACCACATTGGCCTTACGCCAATCCAGTGGTACTATGTCTGTCACTAAAGAGTCCCTAAAATTAGAAACAATGGCTTTGAAATGACAGAGCTCAATTCTTTAAGGACCCGTGGTGTATGCCATCCGGTCCAGGTGCTTTATTCACCTTTATTCTGTCTAAATATTTTTGGATCATACCAATTGTGAGCCAATGTGGATCATCTGGAGCTGTGTCAATACCATGCCCGTTATGGACAAGAGCTCCCCCATGTTCCTTTGTATACACAGAGATGAAGACGGTATTTAATAAATTTGCCTTCTCTTTGTCCCCAGTCACCCACTCTAGATTATTTTGTAAAGGGCCTACATGCTCGGACCGGACCTTTTTACTATGAATATATTTGAAGAATTTTTTGGGGTTGGTCCTGCTATCTTTTGCAATCTGCCATTCATTTTCACTTTTTGCAGCCTTTATTTCCTTTTGCATATTCTGTTATATTCTTTGTAATGTTTAAAACGATGATAGCTTTCCTTCATTTTTATATTTATTAAAAGCGCTTTTTTTTTTTATCTATAGCTTTATTAACTTTGGCCATAAGCCACATAGGTTGATTTTTAGCCTTTTAAACTTGTTGTCCATGGGAACAAATTTTGCAGTGTGTTCACATACAGTCTTTGAGGAACTCCCATTTCTGTGTTGTGTTCATCGATGCCAATATTCCCTCCTAGTCTAAGTCTTGGAGAGCAGCTCTCAGCCTTGGAAAATTAGCTCTCTTAAAATTGAGTGTTTTTATTGTTCCCGTATGTGCTTGTTGTTTACAGCTTTCAATAAATGAAATCATGTTATGGTCACAGCTACCCAGATGTTCTTTTATATGGACATTCGTAATAAGCTCTGCATGGTTTGAGAGTACCAGGTCTAGCAGATCATCATTCCTAGTTGGGGCCTCTATGAACTGTACCATAAAACAGTCCTGTAGTAGGTTTAAAAATATTTGTCCTTTGACTGGAGTAATGGTACTGCAGGAACAGTTAATTTCCGGGTAGTTAATATCCCCTATTATTATTACGGTCGCAGCCCTTTCAATCTGTGCAAGGAGCGGAGTCTCCACCTCCTCATTAACACTGGGAGGCCTATAACATACTCAAAATGATTACCTTTGTAGTACGCACCCCCATGTGCAATTCCACCCATAATGCTTCAGCCTCATCACACTCTCCATCAACTAGGTCCTCTTTCACACTCACTCTCAGATCACTTCTTACATAGAGACGGACATCACCACCTTTCCTATTTACCGTCTTTCCGAAAGAACATAGCCAGGAATATTAATGGCCCAAGTCATGTGAAGAATGAAGCCAAGATTCAGCAATACCAAATAAAACATAGTTCTGTTCATGCACCAAAGCTTCCAACTCACCTATTTTGCTTGGCAGACTTCTGGCTATGGTGAACAAACACTTTAAAGTCATCGACACCTTGTGAACACGTATTTTGCATATTTGTTTCTAATCTCATACAAATGGTACCAATTCCAATGGTTGTGTGTAACATGGGAACCTTCTCATCTGCCAAAGCCCTCCCCCTCGATCCTAATTTAAATACTCCTCCAGCCTTCCCATAAACCTCTCCCCCAGCACAGCAGACCCCCTTCCATTTAGGTGCAAACCATCTCTAGCATATAGGTTGCACCCCAATGAAAAGTCAGCCCAGTGCTCTAGAAACCAAAATCCTTCCCTCTTACACCAGGTCTTTAGCCATGCATGGAGATCTCTAATCTCCCCGTCTTTCCTGAGTACCACATGGCACAGGTAATATTTCAGAGAATATCACCTTGGAGGGCCTTCCCTTCAACTTGCAGCCTAGTTCTTTAAATTGATTCTTAAGCAGCCTCCACCTTCCATGTATTCTGTCATTGGTTCCAACACGGACCAAGACAGCTGGGTCATACCCAACCTCTCCCAGTAATTTATCAACCCGGTCCACCAAATGCCAAAACCTGGCACCAGGGAGACAGCAAACCATTCGGTTGAGGAGATCCTGGCGACAAATTATTCTATCAGTCCTTTTGATTACAGAATCCCCTACTACCACCAGCTGTCTAGGCCTTCCTGCAATACCCTCACCACCCCTCCCAGATGGTCTGCCTTCCCAGCTGTTAGGGACAGCAGTGACATCCAGGGCTGCCACCCCTGAGCTTTCCACCCCCACATCTTCACCCAACTTGGAAAATCTGTTTGGGTGCACAAACCCAGGGCCATGCTTCCTTTTCTGTGAGCCCCTACCACTCCCTCTCCTTACAGTAACCCATCTACCTACCTGATAATCCCGATTAGCCCCTCCGTCCTCCACATCAATCCCATTAGCTACCTGCTCTGAGAGCAGAAGACCCCTTTCAAGGTTTTCAGTTCTGCCCAGTGTTGCAACTTGCTCCTCCAGATCTCTAACGTGGGTTTCCAGAAGAGGAATTCGCTCACATCTGTCGCAGCGGTATCCATCCAGGAGCTGTTGCTCTATTGCTGCATGCATGCGGCACACTGTGCACTGCACAATACCTTCCACTCTGCTGGCGCAGATTATCCCAGTTACAATATTAATAGGAAATATCAGTTGTCACTTACAGGTCAGTAGACTCCTGTTATAATCTCCTGTTTTCCACTCCTGTTTTGTAACTCTACTTATCAAATGTCTACTTGGTCAAAAGGTCCAGCAAGCAAAATACAAGCAAGCTCAGAGTGAGCTCTACAGCAAAGTTATATAGTACCTGTAACCAATTAACCCCTCCCCTTAATTAGCAGATTGAAGGAAGGCAAGGAAAGAAAGAAAAAAAAAAAAAATGCTATTTAAAAAGAAAAACTTTTAAACTCTCCACTCAAATTTCCCACAATTTTTAGATATCAGCCTGCAAAATAATGCCAGACAAGTAAGTACAGAGATCTTTTTTTATACAGGTTAGGCAAGATAGGTAGGAGGGAGTGGGAGGAAGCATTTGTAAGAATAGGTATAGTTAGGCTTTTCTTCAGCTTTAAGTATCCGGTAAGAGAAGGATAAGAATTTACCTGTACGCTCAGTACAGTGAGGTTACTTAGAGTTTCCATGTTCTGCAATTTGGTGATTTTGTTTTTACCAAGAAAAAGGCTGTCAAGATCTCTTAATGTATCCAGATTCTCAATCTCCTAAAAACAAAAGAGAACAAAAATTGTTACGCTGACCCATTAGTCTTAATATTATTCCCTAGGAAAAAATATATAATGCTAACAGAACCCACAGACATTAGCTACTAATTGTCAGATTCATGCAATTCTATTCTGTGGGCAACAACATACACCAATCAGCCATAACATTATGACCACCCACCATAATGTTTGAGGCATGGACTCTCCTGGATCTCTGAAGGTTTGCTGTGGTATTACGCCATCAGTAGTAGATCCTTTAAATCTTGAAAGTTGCAAGGTGGGGCCTTCATTGATCAGACTGGTTTTTCTAGCACATTCCAAAAAAATGCTTGATTGGATTAAGAGCTGGAGAATTTGGATGCAATGTAAACCCACCAAACTCATATTCCACAAACCATTTTTGAATTCACCAGACCAGATCTCTTTCCACTGCTCGTGGTCCAGTTCTGAAGCTTACGTGTCCATTGTTTGTGCTTTTGGCTGTGAGCCCCTGGACTGATATTCAGGCTATGCAGCCCAATACGCAACAAACTATGATGCACTGTGTTTTGACCTATTGGAAACAGCATTAACTTTTTCAGCAACTGGAGCTATAGTAGCTCTTCTACTGAATCAAGACTACATGTGCATCAATGAGCCTTGCCTGCCCACGACCTTGTTGCTTATTCTCCTTCCACTTTTGGTAGGTCCTGACCACTGCAGACCGGGAACATCTCACAAGAGCTGTAGTTTTGGAGTTGTCTGACCCAGGTGTCTAGTCATTACAATTTGGCCCTTGTCGAAGTCACTCAGATCCTTACGCTTGCATGTTTATCCTGCATTCAAGCACATCTTCTCCACGGACATGTTCACTTGTTGCCTAATATATTCCAACAACTTCCGGATGTAAATGTAATGAGATAATCATATTCACTTTACCTGTCAGTGATCATAATGCTATGGCTGGTGTACATTTTAGAATATCCTTGTTGGGAAAGGATTAGAATTGGTGACGTTTCTCCATGACTTCACTGTCAGAAAAGCGATGACAGTGCCGCAGGTCACAATCCATGTACTGTTTTATGATGTGTATTCAACAAATCACAGAATGTTAAGATTTTGTAGGTCAAACAGTTACTTCTAATATTTTAAAGATTTAGCTTTTGGATTCATTATATTTGGATAGTATGGAGAAATGGAAAAAACTCCAGTCTATTGTTAATGCTGTGTCCTTCGCTTACTCTCCATGTTTTTGAGTTCCTACAAAAAGCAGGAAAAAGGAGGGAAAATTTTCCAATGAGGATACTTCTTTCAGTGACAAGAGGGCATTTTCAGAATTTCTCTCACTTCCTGTTATGTCTACAGAACAGGAAATGAAGGGAAACTGCCCAATGGGTGCAGATGGGAAAAAAAAAAAAAAAAAAAAAAAAAAAAAAAAAAAAAGGACTGGAAATCCTTTTTGCAGTCTGGATAAAATAGAGAAGGGCTGAAATCACTACTAGGTTTATCTTGTTGTCTAGGTTCTTGTTTGCAGAGACTTCCTTTCACTTCCTGTCCCTGAGATACAAGTAGTGAGAAGAAATATCACTTTTTCAAGTTGTCACTGATGGCAGGTGCTCCCACTTGGAGGTTCTCACTCTATCCTTTTCTGATGACAACTAGATTTGCCCGACATCAGTCTAGAAAGTGATAGGAAGTCTGCACAGCAGAAAATGGACTTCAATAAAACCCAGCCGTGGTCCAAACTCTCTCACTCTATTGGAAAATGCAGTATTTTGATAGCATTCCACTTCAAAGTTGAACTTCAAGCCAACCATTAAAAATAAACAGTTGAAATACACATAGCGAGGACTGTGTTATCCTCCAAAGGGATTTGTAATTCTGCCCAACTACTTTTATGATCCATATGCCTCTGCCAGCCACAACCAGGAGGGAGACAACACATTCTCTGTTGTTACAGTGTAAGGCCCCTTTCACACAAGCAGATCGATGGGGTCTACCTGTCACTTTTTCAGGCAGACCCAATCGGTCCAATTATAGACTTTTGTGGACCGGCGTCATCCGAGTCGAAAAAACACACACACACACACACACACACACACGATGGATGGGGGATCCATTCCACATCCGTCGATCGGATGACAATAGGGTGGAGACGGATAGGTGGTCCATTTCCATCCTACCGTCCCATTGAAATCAGCTAGCAGTGTGTCTGCTCTGCAGCAGCAGAGCGGACAGAGACCTGTTATCCGCCTGCTCAGCAGGGATCAGTGGAGAGATCCCCATTGAGCAGGCGGATCACGCTGACGGATCCACCCCATGTGAAAGGGGCCTAAGAGCTCTAGCTGCTGGATGATGATTGGACAATAAACAAGCAGCAACACTAGTAATGAGATGTGCGCACTCTGCTCTTTTCTCCTGTCTGCACACGTGTATGCAACAGAGCCGGATTCACCCCTAGTCTTGGCCCTATTCTACTGAGTGCTGCTTTGCTAAATGTAAAAAAAACAAAAAAATAAATAAAATTTACACACCGAATTATCTTTTTTGAATAAATATTTTTCATTTCTGTCTGGAGTTCAGATTTACCCAGCAAGGCCAGCAGAGCTTGTAACAAACAACAGATTTGCTACAGCACTAAAACATCTTCTCTTACGGATAAGAGAGAGTGACAAATCAAACCAGGATTCAATTTTTTTTATTTTATTTTAAACACACAAAGCAAATCTTTCTACCATTTCCTACAATCTACTCACCCGGATACGGTTTGAGCCCAGTTCTAGCAAACGGAGCTTTGTTAAACTGTTGAGATTCTCAACTCGGCTGATCTTGTTATTCACCAAATAGAGGCGATGTACCTGAGTCAATGACTCTAGACCTTCAATGCGTTTTAGAAGGTTAAATGAAAGGTCCAGAATTCTGCAAGGAGAAAAAAGTCACATATCTAACTGCTGTAGTAGTTGGTAAAATACAATTCATGCCTACACATTGTTCATAATACCCCACAAACCTTCCCATTGCTACAAATTGAGAACAGGGTGGGACATAAATAACATCCACAAGCACAAAACTCAAGAATCAAGAATCAAAGAGCACAGAAGAAAAGTTCTGAACAAAAAAACATGGAGATCAGTGTATCGGGGTCAAATGAATACAAACTAATTTTATAAAAGTTTCCATGAAATGCATGCAACACATTGCAGGAGAAATGAGCTTTAAACGACATCACAGAGTTAGTCTGGCTGAAAAAAAAAAAAAAAAAGTCTATCCAGTCCAACCATTAAAAAAAAAAAATATATATTTTATAATCCTACACCCACAGTTGATCCAGATGAACACACCACCAGCTTTATTATAGTAAGGAAAAATCAAGGATGATGTTTGGAGTGCAAAGACCCCCTTAACAGAGTCAGCCGCTATGACTTACAGTAATATGAGGTTTACCCTAATAGAAAAAAAAAAAAGTTTAGCATAACTGTGCTTGCAGTGCCCAACCACAAACTCCTCCTCAGGATATTGTTGCATATAAAATGATCTGCAAATATTGCACATCTTAGTATGTTTTAATGCACCTAGCTGATCCTAGTCCCAGTGCATTTCCAGATCCATCCAATCATTTGTCATTCTGCTGATATAATGGAATATAGTATACCAAATACACAGGAAGAGTGGTAAGACAAGTACTGGCAGCAAGTATGCCATCATTTTAGAACAGAATGCATTAAAGAAGGAGCCCAGAGTAATGTCAACATATCAGATTTGCCTCACCGTGCTTTACTGGAAGCCACAAAGAGGAGATCTTATTTAAACTAGTGTAGTTTATTTGCTTACTAGTGTAGTGTTTATTTGCTTGGTAAAGCAAACTTGTTCTACAGATGTATAGGAGGTGGCAATAGACTTTACTGTATCCAATATGATCAATGTGAGTTCTAATCATGGGGGTGATAACGGTTTTTCTGGGTTCTTAATGCACTGATCAGATCTGTCAGCTGCGATCAGCAGCTGTAGCATATACTACAGGTGGAAATGCAATGTAGCAATGAAAAGTAATATTATAGCACTCTTTATATTTGTGGCTCAATCCACAATAGAAAGAGGAAATGGTGGCGCTAAAGACTACCCGAGCAAAATGGACTCACTGGAGTTGACTCAGGTTCTCCAGGTTCTGGATAATACGGATTTGATTGTCATAGAGGTCCAATTCATTCAATGTCACCAACTGTTCCAAGTCCTCAATCACCTTTATAAGGTTTTGTCGCAGGCACAGGGTCTACAGGGTTAACGAGAGAGGGGAGGTTAGAGGACAAGAAGTGATCCTCACATCTGAAGGACAAAAAGGGTGAAACAATTCATGGGAGCAGACAGGGCACAATGCACTTTAAAGGAAGATTGGACTGAGGCATCCAACACTATAAACAAGAATGGTCAGAAATCAGTAGCGTAGCTTTGGAATACATTCCAAGTAAGTGAAAAAAAATGGAGAAGATTTAAAAAATAAAACAAAACAAAAAAAAAAAACACAACTTCACAACACACATCACAACATTTTACACACACCTTATATGAGGAAACTAACAACTAAAGTTAAGTTGTACAAATATAATATAAATGTTTTCACCTCTTAAAAATAAATAATTTAGAAACGTACCTTGACTTTTCTAAGCACCTCAAATCCCTGAATCTTTCCTATTCGCATGTGGTTTAAGTCGACATCCTACAGAGACAAATATAGGGTTAATACACCAGTAAAATCTGGATGTAAAAAATAACGTTGCACATTGATTTTCCATAAATCCGCCCTAAGATACAGTGAAATGTTATGCATCCCATGCAATTGTAATTTTATTTTTGGAGAGATCCTCTCAGAAACTTGTCCAGTAAAGGGGTGCAGACACTGCAGCTTTCCTCATTAGAACATTCAGGTTTGCTCAGGCTGTAATAATGAACACAAAACCTCCAATGGATTGCAAAGGACATGCAGAAGCAAACAACTATTTCCTCAGAACAAAACAAGAAATCTGCTACAAAGTTTGTGAAAATCATTGCAATGCACATCACTTGGAGGATCTCCCCCCCCCCCTTCCCTCCCAACTTTAAATTAAATTTACACTTTAAATCCTGCTAAAATGTTTTAAATTTGTTTTGGATAGAGCGGGGAAGGATTAGAACTTTTATTTTATTGCTGTGTGTACCTGTTGGAGATATTTATCTTCACTTCCTGTAAGAACAAGAAATCATGGGAAAAAAAAAAAACTGTCCAAAAAAGGGAAAAAACAAATTCTTAAACCCATACACACAGGCCGAATATTGTTCGAAATCAGCTGATTTAGTAGAACCCAGCTGACATTCAGCCTGTGTGTACAGGTCCTTGTCCGACAGAAGTTGGTCGTGAGATCAGCTTCTGTCAAAGAAGCATGCTGGAAGACTAGCAGGTGATCAGCGCTCACAGCCAATGACTGAGCGCTGATCATTGTGGTCTGGCAGGGCAGGGAGATGAATGTATTAATGCATAGTCAGTACAGAGACCTCTGTTTATTTTGTACATCATGCTGGGTTGAACAAAAAAAAAAAAAAAAAAAAAAAAAAAAAAAAAAAAAAAAAAAAAAACCGTATGTACCAGGCGTAGAGTGGGGAAGGGTTAGGACTTTGTGTTTAAATCTTTTTTACTCCTTTTAAATAGTTTACAAAATCGATAAAGAAAAAACCAAAAAAAAAAAAACCCAGATTTGTATAAACATTAAAAAAGGGTAGGACTTTTGTACAATTTTGTACTGCTCTCTATCTTCCTAACCCACAAACTAACTCACCACTCATTTCTTTTATGGGCTTCGCAGGGACCAGACAGTGCTAAACACCTGGCAAAAATTTTAACGATTCTCTGCTTTATCCACAACTAGAAATAAAAAAAAGGCAATGTATTTGTTTGTTTCTATAAAAATTACTCTTGCGCTCAGATAAGTTAATCTCTTGAATCAGGAAGAAGTCTTACCTTTACAACCATATTCAATGACCAGTTGGCATAATGTCTCTTACTATCATTTGCCATCACTCAGCCACCTGTTTCAGTTATTAGATAACTAAGGGGAAAAGGAATTCTGACAGACATGGTAGTCAGGAACCAATGGTTTACCCTATTCAATGGACAAAAGGTAAACATCTTTTTGAACTAAAGGCAGAAGATGCAGACTTCTGTTTGACCACACTCTAATGCTCTCTAGGCAATACAAAGGTCATAAATCTTCAATCAATCTTCTGACACAATCAATCACCACTCAAGGGTTTAGCATCCAGTCTCCAGACCACTTCACAGTCAGCATTTTTCAGAACACACAGAAAAACAGCCACTCTGGTTCATTTTAAAATGTATTCATGTACAGCTGAGTGGAAGCAAAATCTTGATGCAATTTCTATTGATTCCCATGTCACAGGCCATAATAATAATAAATTATAATTGGAAGTGTCATGCAAGTAGCCATTTCCTACCTCAGCTTCAGGGTCCAGGTTGATGGTCTCCAGGCTTACTGGTGTCTCTGAGTCATCTAAACACAAGTATGATATAATAAAATGTAATGCCAATAGAAGACTATAGGAAAAACCAAATATTAACAGCTTCCCGTCTGCCCTATAGAAGAAATACTGCGAAAGGATGGCACGGATGAGCAAAATCACGTGTATATTTACATGATTTTGCAGTTCGGGGTAGGGGGCGAGGCTGCGCCCTGCCCGCACCGCAATTCACATCTTTGGCTATCAACCGGGTCCCGGCCGGCGATTGCCGAGTATTACCGCTGGGGGAGAGAACTGTATGTACACAATACAGTTCTCTCCCCTGTCAGCTCCTGCACACTGCTTTGTATGGCTCGCCCCAATCACACCAAGCCAGTTCCCCCAGTGTCAGAATGCCTGCTGCAGTCCCGCTATAAGTTGCTGATCGCAGCCAAGACTAGTAAAAAAAAACAAACCAAAAAAAAAAATTCCAGTATATTTACCGCCATTTCGAAATTTTTACATAAACCAAAATTACACATATTGGGATTTTTTTTTTTTTTTTTTTTAGCAAAGACATGTAACACAATACATATTGCCTTAAATTTACGATGAAATTTGATATACATTTTATTGGACATGTTTAATAGCAAAAAGTAAAAAATTGTTTTTTTCCACAAAATTGTCAGTCTTTTTTTGCTTATAGCACAAAAAAAGAGGACCCCCCCCCCCCCCCCCCAAAAAAAAAAAAAAAAAAAAACCCACCACACACAAGCAATAAAATACCACCAAAAGAAATCTCTAATTTATGGGGACAAAAAGTCGCAAATTTCATTTGAATGCACGTTGCATGACCGCACAATTGTCAAATAAAGTAACTCAGCGCCAGAAACGCAAAAAATGGCCTGGTCAAGAATGGGGGGGGGGGGGGGGGGGGGTAAATCCTCAGGAGGGCAAGTGGTTAATATGCTTCTCAGCCTGTTTTGTTATTAAGTGACCCTTGGATATACAGCCATCAGGTAACAATTGCTTTATTCTGTCTAGACTTGCATGCCAAGGGTGGGGTTGATTGAGTTACTGCGATTTGTGTGAAATGCTGCACCCAAACAAAATTTATATATTTTTTTTTCACATAAATAGAGCTTTCTTTTGGTGGTATTTGATCACCTTTGGGTTTTTTATTCTTTGTGATAAAAAAAAAAAAAGAACAATTTAGAATAAAAAATATTTTTTTCTGGTATAAAACAAATCTAATAATATCATCAACTATATAATTTTTAACAAGCTTGAGTAGTACCCTTGTGTATGTAAACAAACTGTCCTTAAAGTGCAGCCAAAATAAACAATAAAATCAGCACAAGGGACATAACTTACACAAAAGTTAAGTCAAACGTTCATTTGTTTACCGTTGGAAGCATTAATGGTTGTAGACGATATACTGGCCTTAACAAGGTCTTTTCATGTTGATCAAAAGGTGTTTGGTCAGCCAATCAGAAATCCCTTCAACTTTCCTTACTGGTAGTAATCTGAATACGATTGAAAGTTTTAGCCGTTGAGAAGGATCATAACCTAGCATTTATTATGGAAGCACAGGTCTAGAAAATAGCCTCTATGCTTGCCATGACAGAAAAAGGGCTAAGTATTTTGAGTGAAAGTCTGAAGGCTTCTGATCATTGTATTATTTCTCTGTATTATTACTTTGTGGATTTTGCCATCTGTTCTGGAATCCAATAAATGCTAATCTCCCTGGAGAACCAAGTTGCTACAGAGATTTATTTGGATTGGAGGAGTTCGCTAACCTGCACTCCTGTTTCCACAAAAACACTAAGGCTTCATGTACATGAGCCTACCCTGACCATGGAAAAATGCAATTCGTATTAAAACGGCGGTACAGCGATTTTGCGGTCAAAACATTCCTATCCTGAATGAGATTCTTCCGTGTTCAGGAGAGGGAGGTTTAACCTCACCTAAACGCGGCAGTTCTTAAACTCTGCTAAAAGCCTATGTGTACATGGACACAGGCTTTTATGGAGAGGAGTTTAGGAGCTTTGGCAAAAAAATAATTGCCAAAAGCTACTAAACTCGAGTTCAGGAGCTGCTCGTGTACATGAAGTCTAATAGTTATAACAATAATTATTAGCCATCATCCATTTATTTACAAGCAACACATGCACTAAAGTTGTAGTGGCACACTGTCTTCCAGACAGCTGTTAGGGACTACTAATGGTGATCCAAAATGAAACTTTCAGAAAAAATTTGGTAAAGCTTTCCATTGCTGCACCAATTCCATTCACCCTTACACCAATTAGCAACAACCTTTACAATTTGCAGCTTACAAAGAGAAGTAGGGCTTTTTTTTCCTCCTATTTATACTTAACTAGGTGGATGCAACCTCGGCCCGATGCTGCATCTGTCCCCAGGCGGCTCTAAGGGTGAGCGCTGATCGGCAAGTTCTCCTCTTCACTCTGACCAGAGAGCAGGACCATCAGTCAACGATGTCTGCTCGGCCTTCCCAGTGCTCACTGGAGCGCTGGGATGTGGAGTGGAAAGGAGTGGCTGGCTCAGGCTCTCAGCGCTTCGCTGAGAGGCCGAGCCAGGTGCCACTCCAGACTGTGGGGTGGATCCCAACTCTGAAATCAGGATCTTTCCCCAGCCTGGACCGGCTAAGTGACGTCAGCCCACATCAGTCCTGTCAGCTGAAAATGGGTCACAGAAGTGCAGAACAAACTGCACTTTAAACACATTTAAACCAACTTTGGTATGCTCTTCAAGTTTCTTTTACACAACTAGTGTTGCAAACAACATGAAGGACACAGCCTTCCCTGTGTTCACTTCAAAAAATGCAGGACATATATAGATTTCTTATTTGGAAGATATATACGCTCACCGGCCACTTTCTTAGTTATACCTTGCTCTTATGGGCAAGGTGTTGGAAACATTCCTCTGCCCATTCTCCTGTGTCGTCCACATGACTGATGGTCACTGGATATTTTCTCTTTTTCGGGACATTCTCTGTAAACCCTAAAGGTGGTTGTGCGTGAAAATCCCAGCAGATCAGCTGTTTTTTTTAAATACACAGACCAGTCTATCTGGCACCAACAACCATGCCATGTTCAAAGTCACTTAAAATCCCCTTTCTTTCCCATTCCGATGCTCAGTTTCAACTTCAGCAAGTCATCTTCACATCTACATGACTAAATGCATTGAGTTGCTGCCATGTGATTGACCAATTAGCAATTTGTGTTACCAAGCAATTGAACAGGTGTACCTAAATAAAGTGGCCGGTGAGTATATATCCCATCACATGATAAAAGAAAATAAATAGCACGTTTCCAGTATACAGTCAGGTCCATAAATATTGGGACATCGACACAATTCTAAAATTTTTGGCTCTATACACCACCACAATGGATTTCAAATGAAACTAACAAGATGTGCTTTAACTGCAGACTGTCAGCTTTAATTTGTCCTCGTCGGCTCTTCTCCACTTTCAAATCCCTGCTCTCTCCCCCCCCATCCCCACCCAGCACCTCACTCACCGCCCACGAGATTGCTAATCACTTCCAAAACAAGACTGACGCAATCCGTAAGGACATTGTGAGTTGACAATCTACCTCTCCACCCAGCCTCCCTCAACCGTCCCTTCCCCCGACCTCATAGCCGCACTACCCCCCACTATACCTAATGCCCCACACATCACCTCCCCAACACTCCACTCCTTCAGCCCAACTACCCCCGGAGGAGGTCTCTAAGGTCTTCACTGAAGCCCGCCTCACCACCTGCCCCCTATCCCCTCACAGCTCCTCCAGTCACCCCCCCCCCCCCCCCCCTCCATCATTCGCTCCCTCACCCACATCTTCAATTTCTCCCTCTCCACTGGCACCTTCCCCTCCTCTCTAAAGCACGCACACATCACCCCCATACTCAAAAAACCCTCCCTTGACCCCACTAACCTTAATCTTAGACCCATCTCCTTGTTGCCCTTCACTTCCAAGCTCCTTGAGCGCCTGGCCTACAATCGCCTAAGTGCCCACCTCACTGATAACAACCTCCTTGACCCTCTACAGTCCAGTTTCCGTCCCCTGCACTCCACCGAAACTGCCCTACTTAAAATCACCAACGACCTGCTAACCGCCAAAGCCAACAGCCACTATTCTATCCTCCTGCTCCTCGACCTCTCCGCGGCCTTCGACACTGTTGACCACCCTCTCCTCCTTGCCAAAACTGCACTCCCTTGGCATCAAGGACGCTGCTCTCTCCTGGTTCTCTCCTACCTTTCCCAATGCTCCTTCAGCTTCACCTACAACACTGCCACCTCCCCCTCCCTCCCCCTCTCTCTTGGGGTCCCCCAAAGCTCTGTCCTCGGGCCCCTCCTCTTCTCCATCTATACCTCCTCCCTTGGCAAACTTATTCACTCCCACGGCTTCAATTACCACCTCTATGCCGGCGACACCCAAATTTACCTCTCCATCCCCCCACCTCACTCTCTGCCCGCATCGCCCACCTCCTAAACGACAGACTGGATGTCGCTCCATTTCCTCAAACTTAACCTTCCAAAACCGAGCTCCTGGTCCTTCCCCCGTGCCCCACCCCCATCCTTTTCATCACTACTAACGCCGCCACCATCTCTCCCACCCCACACGCCAAAATCCTGGGTGTCACCCTGGACTCCCACCTCTCCTTCCTACCCCACATCCAACTGCTATCTAGATCTTGCAGGTTCCACCTCTGCAACATCTCCAAGATACGCACATTCCTCACCCCAGACACCACCAAACAACTTGTACACTCCCTCATCATCTCACGCCTGGTCTATTGCAATTCCCTTCTCACTGGCCTACCCAAACGAACGCTATCCCCACTCCAGTCGATCCTAAACTCAGCGGCTAGACTCATCCACCTCACCAACCGCTCCACATCCGCCTCCCCCCTCTGCCAATCCCTTCATTGGCTCCCGATTGCCCAACGCATCAAAATTCAAACTGCTAACACTGACCTACAAAGCCATTCACAATGCCGCCCCAAACTACATAACTGACTTGATACCCAAATACTAACCTACCCGTGCCCTCCGCTCCTCACAGGACCTCCTACTCTCTAGCTCCCTGGTCTCCTCCTCCCACGCCCGATTCCAGGACTTCCCCCATCCTCTGGAACTCCCAATCCATCAGACTGTCGCCTACCCTTCTCACCTTCAGGCGCACCCTGAAAACCCTCCTCTTCAGGGAAGCCTACCCCAACCTCACCTAACACCCATCCTCGCCTAACAACTAACCTCCTCCACTCCATCCCCCACAGCCATCTCCTCCTGTGCCACCTTCCCCTCCCTCCTAGATTGTAAGCTCGAAAGAGCAGGGCCCTCGAACCCCTCGTGTTTTGTATTGTTACGGTCTTGTCTCATGTTCTGTCCCCCTTGCTACTTTTCAGCGCTGAGCATACCCTTTGGCGCTATATAAAATACTGTATAATAATAATAATAATAATTAATTTACATCCAAATCAGGTGAACGGTGTAGGAATTACAACAGTTTGCATATGTGCCACCCACTTGTTAAGGGACCAAAAGCAATGGGACAGAATAATAATCATAAATCAAACTTTCACTTTTTAATACTTGGTTGCAAATCCTTTGCAGTCAATTACAGCCTGAAGTCTGGAACGCATAGACATCACCAGACGCTGGGTTTCATCCCTGGTGATGCTCTGCCAGGCCTCTACTGCAACGGTCTTCAGTTCCTGCTTGTTCTTGGGGCATTTTCCCTTCAGTTTTGTCTTCAGCAAGTGAAATGCATGCTCAATCAGATTCAGGTCAGGTGATTGACTTGGCCATTGCATAACATTCCACTTATTTCCCTTAAAAAACTCTTTGGTTGCTTTTGCAGTATGCTTTGGGTCATTGTCCATCTGCACTGTGAAGCGCCGTCCAATGAGTTCTGAAGCATTTGGCGGAATATGAGCAGATAATATTGCCCGAAACACTTCAGAATTCATCCTGCTGCTTTTGTCAGCAGTCACATCATCAATAAATACAAGAGAACCAGTTCCATTGGCAGCCATACATGCCCACGCCTTGACACTACCACCACCATGCTTCACTGAGGTGGTGGTATGCTTAGGATCATGAGCAGTTCCTTTCCTTCTCCGTACTCTTCTCTTCCCATCACTCTGGTACAAGTTGATCTTGGTCTCATCTGTCCATAGGATGTTGTTCCAGAACTCTGAAGGCTTTTTTAGATGTCGTTTGGCAAACTCTAATCTGGCCTTCCTGTTTTTGAGGCTCACCAATGGTTTGAATACAGAGGGTTCACCACAAGATGTACTCTGGTGAAGTCTTCTCTTGATTGTTGACTTTGACAGACATACACCTACCTCCTGGAGAGTGTTCTTGTTCTGGCCAACTGTTGTGAAGGGTGTTTTCTTCACCAGGGAAAGAATTATTCGGTCATCCACCACAGTTGTTTTCCGTGGTCTTGCGGGTCTTTTGGTGTTGCTGAGCTCACTGGTGCGTTCCTTCTTTTTAAGAATGTTCCAAACAGTTGTTTTGGCCATGCCTAATGTTTTTGCTATCTCTCTGATGGGTTTTTGTTTTGTTTTTTCAGCCTAATGATGGCTTGCTCTTTGGATCTCATCTTGAGAGTTGACAGCAACAGATTCCAAATGCAAATAGCACATTTGAAATTAACTCCGGACCTTTTATCTGTTCATTGTAATTGGGATAATGAGGGAATAACACACACCTGGCCATGGAACAGCTGAGAAGCCAATTGTCCCATTACTTTTGGTCCCTTAACAAGTGGGAGGCACATATGCAAACTGTTGTAATTCCTACACCGTTCACCTGATTCGGATGTATATATCCTCAAATAAAAGCTGACAGTCTGCAGTTAAAGCACATCTTGTTCGTTTCATTTCAAATCCATTGTGGTGGTGTATAGAGCCAAAAATGTTAGAATTGTGTCGATGTCCCAATATTTATGGACCTGACTGTATATGCTTACAATGCCTAAGGTACAATCCTCATAGTAGAAGGGCAGTATACCAACTGGAAACCTATCCCACCTCTACCTTAAAACTGTACTTTTACTTTGTCCATCAGCTCATCCCTTGTAATTAATGCCTTTTGTATCAATTCCCTCTCTTGCTTTAGATCATAAGCTCTCACAGGCAGGGCCCCCTGAACCCTCTTGTATTTTAACTGTACTATCTCCCTTTAATTTGTGAAGCGCTGTGTAAACCGATAACATTATATAAAGCTTGGATAATGGATGATGATGATGATGATGATAAATATAGCTTCAGCAAACACCTGCCCCTGCCCACACTGTCCCTTTTTCTAGTTAGATAATGGAAAGTGCCTGTAAGCTTTAGAAACAACATTCACGGAAATATTTATTAAAAATGGAAGTAAATGGGTTTCCAATGAGATATAAAATTTGGCAGAAGACCCGTCTACCTCCTAGATAGGTGTGGTAATAAACTATACATTGCTCAACACCAGAACTCACTCTGGGCTGTGCGGAGGTTGCTGCCCGATTTCCTAGTGACCTCAACAGTGCATTTCAGGGGCAGGACCTCATTTGTCAAGGCTTTAAAAAAAAGGGAGACAGCTCCCAAAATACATTATTCTTGTCACCAGTAAGTCAAGCAGTGACATCAGCACAGCCCAGTCTGAGCACTGGGGTGGAGTAATGTACAGGGTTTGGAATCACCACACCTGCTCAGCTTGATGGCTATACAGGAGGTGGAAGAGGCGATAGACTGCTCTCCCACAGCATTACCGCTGGCCCCGGTACTGGCTCACACATCACATGATCTGGTCATGTACACTGAACTCTTTTTCTGACGGTGTGTGTGACAGACCCAACCGGGACAAGGGCTTTTGGGGGGGGAATGCAGGCTAGCCTCTTGCCTACTGGCTATGGAGCCTGGCATCTGAGTGGGCATCTTCAAGACCGGGTCTTCCCGAAACACACAGACTGAGAATTGGAAGACCAGAATACAGATTTGGGGTCTCTGACCAAAGCAGCATTGACTGCTTCAACCCCCCACCTAGACTCCCCTGGCTAGTCCTCCTGGAGGTTCCTACATGATGGGATTAGTCTTGTATCAACATCCTACCTCGTTACCTAATCAGTGTGGGATATTTATCCCAATGTGTAATATTTGTTTGCATTGTTCATGTAGGTACTGCTCCTATTTTTGCAGTGTATAAAAACCTGTATTTCTGTTCAATAAAGAGTTCCAGTTGCACGTAAGCTAGTGTAGTCTAGTTCTTGGGTGCAATGCCCAGCTATAATATCTTGGTCCTGTGTCTCAGCGGCGAGGAAGTGGTTCTCTGATGGAAGTACCCAGGTGGGCTGCCAGGCGATCCATCACGATGTCACTGCATTTATTGAAGTTTCTTTATTTCTCTTTTCATTAAAGGTTTTTTTTTGTTGCACAAGTTCGATATATTTTCTTTTCACATTGTTTTACAGAATTTCTTTATTCCTGTCTCTAGACTACTTAATTCTATACTTATCAGGCACTGAATCAGGTAGCAAAATATTTCACCTGCTGCCTCTTCGCCATTCTGCACTTCTCCATCTTGAACAGCTTGCTTCTCCTTTATGTCATCATCTGCAGATTCATCGGACTCTCTACGTTTATCCACTATTCCAATTAGGAAAAAATACCATTGTAAACAAAAAAATGTAACAGAGTGACAGCTATTACCCCCTTCATGCCCTTCATTAACAAGCCAGCATAACACTATTTTCTATTTGAACTTGTAAATAAAAAAAAACTGTATATAAACAACTGATCAGCTTTACTGATCACAATGTTCTCAGGTTGGCATAACAATGAACATATTTGGATCTTGCCAGACCATAATGATCTCAGGTAGACATAATACGGAATACACACTGCTCAAAAAACAAATAAAGGAACACTTTGAAAACACATCAGATCTCAATGAGGAAAAATATCATGCTGGATATCTATACTGATACGGACTGGGTAATGTGTAAAGAACGTAAGGATGCCCCATCATTTGATGGAAATTATCAACCTACAGAGGACTGAATTCAAAGACACCCCGAAAATCACAGTGAAAAAATGATGCAGCAGACTGCAGATGCTGAAATTTAATTGCAACTCAGAATGGTACTCAGTAGTCTGTATGGCCCACACATGCTTGTATGTATTCCTGACAATGTTGGGGCATGCTCCTAATGAGACGATGGATGGTGTCCTGGGGTATTTCCTCCCAGATCTGGACCAGGGAATCACCAAACTCCTGGACAGTCTGAAGTGCAACCTGGTGGGATTGGATGGACTAAAACATGATATCCCAGAGGCGTTCTATTGGATTTAAGTTAGGCAAGCACGGGGGCCATTCAGTAGTATCAATTCCTTCATCCTCCAGGAACTGCCTGCATACTCTCGCCACATGAGGCTGGGCATTGTTGTGCACCAGGAGGAACCCAGGACCCACTGCACCAGCGCAGGGTCTGACATTGGGTCCAAGGATTTCATCCCGATACCTTATGGCAGTCACGATGCCATTGACTAGCCTGTAGGGGTGTGTGTGTCCCTCCATGGATATGCCTCCCCAGACCATCACTGACCCACCACCAAAATTGTCATGCTGAACGATGTAACAAGCAGCATAATGTTCTCCACGGCTTCTCCGGACCCTTTCACATCTGTCACATGTGCTCAGGGTGAACCTGCTCTCATTTGTGAAAAGCACAGACCAGTGACAGACCTGCCAATTCTGGTGTTCAATGGCAAATACCAATCGGGCTCTATGGTGCCGGGCAGTGAGCACAGGGCCCACTAGAGGACGTGGGGCCTCAGGCCACCCTCCTGAAGTCTGTTTCTGATTGGTCAGACATTCACACCAGTGGCCTGCTGGAGGTCATTTTGTAGGGCTCTGATAGTGCTCATCCTGTTCCTCCTTACACAAAGGAGCAGATACTGGTCCTGCTGATGGGTTAAGGACATTCTAGGGCCCAGTCCAGCTCCCCTAGAGTAACTGCCTGTCTCTTGGTATCTCCTCCATGCTCTTGAGACTGTGCTGGGAGACACAGCAAACCTTCTGGCAATGGCACGTATTGATGTGCCATCATGGAGGAGTGGACTATCTGTGAAACCTCTGTAAGGTCCAGGTATCTCTACCAGCTGTGACACTGACCCTAGCCAAATGCAAAACTAGTGAAAAACAGTCAGAAAAGATGAGTAGGGAAAAAACGTCAGTGGCCTCCACCTGTAAAACCATTCCTGTTTTGGGGGCCATCTCATTGTTGCCCATCTAGTGCACCTGTTAATTTCATTAATACCAAAGCAGCTGAAACTGATTAACAACCCCCTTTGCTACTTAACTGACCAGATCAATATCCCAGGAGTTTAAATGACTTGATGCTATACTCTGATTAAAAAGAGTTCCTTTAATTTTTTTGAGCAGTGTATTTAGATTTTATCAGATCACAGACAATTGGCTAAAGTACAACTAAGGACAAAACGTTTATGTTTTGGATAGAGAGAAGATGGATTAGAACAATGGTCAGTTTGCATTGCCGTCTACGCCCGTTAGGGAGATTCACCCTCTCCATTTGTCCCATTTACCATTATCATTGAAAGTGAAAGCAAAAGACGACCCCAAATTTTGGGCTGTACCCAGAAATGTAATAGAGGGGAAATTTTCCAATGGGGACACTAGGTCTGGTGACCTGGGGGTCCCCAAGGGATTCCCCTAAATTGGAGAATTCCCCTCAGTTCCTGTTTTTGCTATGGGACAGGGAGTGAAGGGAAATCACGCACGCTCCCAGCATGTGTCGGCGTCCCATGGTAAGGTCCCAATTTTTCCTTGTGATCGAAACCTTTCCGATCATTTGACTGCCGTGGCAGCCAATCATAGCGGTCACATGACCCTAAACCCCGCCCACCTCCCAGTGTCCGAAACCCTTAGCGCCGGTGTAAAGGGGTTAAGATCTCCTCTAAATCTGATGCATTTAATTTTTTTTTTTTTCCTGAAAAGATTTCTGTATATCTTCCTTAACACCCCAGTCTATCTTCCATTGAAGTTGTTTAAATCCTCTCATATTCCCCTTTATCTGGCCTCCAAGGACCCCTAGGCTCTCCTTAGCTGTTCACCACCCCTATTTCCAAGTGTGCGGTCTCAATGGCTGCTCTACAACTATTATTGGGCTTTACAATTAGTTTACATAAATTAATGGATCTCATCAGATGATATTACCCTCAGGTAAGCATGACAAGGAGTCTGTTAGAAGAGAAGTAGGGTTTTTTTTGCCCAATTTTATCTACCTAGTTGGATGCAGCATTGGACCGTTGCTGCATCTGGCCCCCGCCAGCTCCAAGGGTGAGAACTCAGCGCCCACTGATTGCCGAGTTCTCCCCTCCACTCTGAGCGGAGAGGACTGTTAGTCACCGAGGCCTGCTCTGCATTGCTCTGGGCAATGTTCTGCTGGGAGACCTTGGGTTCTGTCATTCATGTGGACATTACTTGACATTTACCACCTACCTACACATAGTTGGTGACCAAGTACACCCCTTCATTGAAACGGTATTCCATGATGGCAGTGGCCTCTTTCAGCAGGACAATGCACCCTGACACACTGCAAAAATAGCTCAAGAATGGTTTGAGGAACACAATGAGTTTGAGGTGTTGACTTGGCCTCCAACTTCTCCAGATCTCCATCCAATCAAGCATCTCTGGGATATGCTGGACAAACAAGTCCAATCCATGGATGCCCCACCTCACAACTTACAGGACTTGAAGAATCTGCTACTGACGACTTGGTTCCAGATACCACAGCATACCTTCAGAGGTCTAATGACAGCCATAGCTTGACAAGTCAGGGCTGCTTTGGCAGCAACAGGGAGACCTTTTCAATATTAGATGGGTGGTCATAAAGATATGGCTGATCAGCAGTTTTGGATCTTATCAGACCTTAATGATCTCAGGCAAGCAAAGCAAGGAATAGGTTTTGATTTGATCAGATGACAGACCCTTGGTAAGATTTCCTGTAAATCTCATGGGAAGAACAAGTCTACCATTTTGTCTGCTTAGCTTTATGGATATCTTCCTATTGTACATTGAAGTCATTTCAATCCTTCATTTCTCTCATATTGGCCCCCTAGGCTCTCCACATCCCTATTTGTGAGTGTGGTCTCTCCATGGCTGATCTACAACCCTATGATTGGGCTTTCCAATCTATGTAAGTGAAGAGATGGATGGATGGATGGATGGATCTTATTACATCATAACCATGCCAAGTAGGCATAACAAGGGCCATTTTGATCTTAGAAGTGCTGCCAGCAGCCAACCACAAGTCAGCTTTCATGTCTGTGACCACAGTAAGCTGACAGCAGACAGGCTGCTCTAGGTGACACCACCAGTGTTGTAGATTCATCCTTACTGGGACCTCCAGAGGGTCTGGTTTAGGTTTGCCTGTGTCCTGCCTTGAGATGTGGAACTACAGATACCAGCATGTCATGGAGTGTCACCGCTGCCTGTTGTCACACCTAGCAGAGCAGGGAATGCTGGGACTTCTAGTTCTGCACTCTCCCCGGAGCCACTCATTGTACTAGTCAGGTCCCAGCCGTTCTTCACACACAGCCCCCCTTCCATGGCCGTCCGGCCTCCCTCCATCCTACCTTCCATGTCCTGCACCTCTCCCCCGCCATACGCCATTGTATTGCTGCTCTCCTAGTTCCGGAAGCCTCTTCCTTCACCAATCACAGGTCACCTCCCAACAGCCAATAGAAGAGCATGCTGGGGATGTCTTGTACGCATGCACGAGCAGCCTGGCTGCTGGGAATTGTAGTGTTCTAAAGACAAAGCGAGCGGAGAAGATTGTATATACACAGCCCGTGGGGCCCCGCACTGTGGGGAAGACACGCGGCTTCTAATACATTGGAGTCCAGTATTCGCGGCTGGGACAGATTTTCATCATAGCGCGGCTGTGGGCCGCCTCTCCTACACGAAGGGCTGGCCTCTGTAAACAAATGTCTTACTCGCGTCCCTAGCAACCACTGGCCCGCTCTTTTCTGCTACCATGGGGGCGTATCTCTCCGCCTGGCAACATTTTCTGCTCACTCATTGGCCAAGGGACCCTCTGTTCATTTGACAGCACCACCTGATTGGGCGGCTCGTTCAAACCTGGCAGTTCCGCCTTTTCCGCCGCAGAGCGCGCTGTCTGTGGGAAGGATGACATAAGAGGTGTGATGGTACTGTGAGTAATGAGGTGTGCGGGTTGGTGTTGTGTGGAGGGTGGGCAGCACCTGTCACCTGTGCCGGGGGGTCTCTAGTCTGTCCTAGGGGTGGTCGGTCCACACAACCGGCCTTGTTTACATCGCACAGTGCCCTGAGGCTGGTGAGCTCTTTGTGTGAGATCATACAGGAGGATCGCAACTGCTGGATGTTGAGCAGCGATGGAGATGAGGGCTGAGAGTTGGCAGCTCTCCCCAATTCACAATCACTGCAGACGTGGTCCTGGAAATAGTCCCTGATATCGATCAACTCCACAATAAATTCTCTAATTTATCGTTTCTGTATGCCAGTAGTTGGTGTCTGGACACCCTCCCTGCTTCTATTGTCTGGGGATTGGAGGGTGGTGTGTTCGTTGAAGGAGGGTGGTGTGTTCGTTGAAGGAGGGTGGTGTGTTCGTTGAAGGAGGGTGGTGTGTTCCTTGAAGGGGGGTGGTGTGTATTGCACTCATTGTCAGTGGCACTGCGGAGAGGATACAACTTCTATGCTGCTGTCAGGTCTCATTCACACCAAGGCATGACAGTTTTTCTGGACACATTCTGCAAGGGCACAACAAAATCAATTGTCCTCTATGTGTCCTGTTCACACAACACTACTATCACATGCAGATCTTTTTCTGTGCAGGAATCTGCAACCGGTATGCATTTTTGTACATGGAAAAACACTGACCTGACATCAACACTGGTATGAACAGGGCATATAACTAACGCATGTGAAAACTGATGTCAGTGTGCATAAAAACTCACAGTAACTCATATCTCTGGAATCTGTGTGGTTTTCCCATCAGTTTTCATGCACACGTGGTGTGAATGAGTCCTAACTGTCATTGTCAGTGGGCAGATTTTTTTTTTTTCTGAGAAAAATGACAGTTGGTATTGAAGACCAAAAATAGGTTTAACCATTTGCCTACCCCCTTATACCGCCTTCCTGTCCAGGCCAATTTTCAGCACTCTCACACTTTGAATGACAATTGTGCGGTCATGGAATACTGTACCCATATGAAATTTTTATCATTTTTTTCACACAAATAGAGCTTTCTTTTGGTGGTCTTTAATCACTGCTGGGTGTTTTATTTTTTGCACTATAAACAAAAAAAGCAAAATAAAAAAGTTTTTCTTTGTTTCTATTATAAAATTTTACAGACAGGTATTTTTTTTCTCCTTCACTGATGTACGTTCATGAGGCTGCACTTATAGGTAGCACTGATGGGCACTAATGAGGTGGCACTGATATGCACTGATGGGGGGCACTGGTGGGTGGCACTGATCATCAGTGACCTGATGATCAGTACCGATTCGTCCTCTGACAATTGCCAGTTATCGGCAGTACTTTCCAAGCCACCGTGAAATGGCAAACCCGGGGCAGCGGACATGGCACCAGTTTAAAATGGATCATAGACAGGGATTAAAAGATGAAAGAGCTGAGTACTTCGTAAGTGATTAAAGCTCCATTCACACAGGCATATGTGTATTTTCTGCATGAACGCAGGTTCTTGGTGGCAGATGATCCTGCAGAAAAAACACATCTAAAGTACTCACGTTTAGATGCGTACAGCGCTTATTCCTATTCGTATCTACTTTCATTCAAATGAATGGCTACAAATGTATGCATCTCTGCGTTTAGGCGCATTCACTTGTAAAATCTCAGCGGTGTCCTGCTTTTTTTTTTTTTCGCAGCTAAATGCAACAAACAGTGTTGCAGGCAGCCACAGCTGTGTTTAGGGGCTCGCTGATTAATATAGTGCTGTCTTTAAATGTGCACAAAGTTATGTGCGGTGCACATCTAAACGCAACATTTTTTTCTCCCCCTGTAAATAAGTCTAAGGCACTTTTCACTTGAAGTCTCGATCAGGTCAGCCTGACAGGTTTTCAGGCAGACCTGATTGGACCCTCCATTCACCTCTATGGACCGGCGGGTGTAAATGGACTTGTGTCCGTTTACACCCGTCTACTTCCAATCTGATCAGGTCTGCAAATAAAAAAAACAGAAGGGCATCCGCTCCCCTCTGTCTAGGTAGATCTGATCGGAGGGCAGTTGGAGCCTGTTTTGTATTGGCGACCATTGTCCCCAGCAAAGCAAAAGATGGGAAACCACACATTTTTATAGCTGTCTCCAGTAAGTCCAATAAGGACACCTGTTCTGGTGACAGCTATCGAAGATTTATTTTATTTATTACAAGTACTTATATAGCTTTGTGAATTTACTCAGCACTTTACAAATAAATTGTATATTCACATCAGTCAAGATGGGAATTTCCCTCACTTCCAAGATACCTCTAACTTCCTGCTGTGTCTCTGGGAGAGGAAATGAAGGGAAATCTCCCTAACAGGAAACAGACAAAAAAGATAGGCAAAAACAAAACCTGGTAGGGTTTTAATGCTTCCCTAATCTTACAGAACAAAAACAAATTGGCTATATGCACACTTTAATCAGGCAGTAGGAAATATTTATTTGGGAAATCCATTTTGGGAGGGGGTAAAATGCTGAGGCTGTGATCTAAAATACTCTGTTTCTAGTGGTGCACCGAAATGAAAATTCTGGACCGAAACCAAAAATTCAAGATGCACTTGGCTGAAAACCAAAACTAAAATGGACAGTTTTTTTAAAGAATATATATTTTTTATATATAATTTTATTTTTAACTATTATTTTAACCAATTAACTTTTTCATTAATATCATGAAGTTAAATTAAAATGAAAAAATATGAAAAAAAAAAAACAATCCAGTAAAGTAAAAAAAAAACTTTTATTGAAAGTAACGCACAAAAATTGGACAGAAAATAACATGAAATATATATATAAAATTAAAAAAAACTTAAATAGAGGCATTTTTGCATTGAAGTCAGTGGGAGGCGTTTTTTGCATTGAAGTCAGTGGGGGGTGTTTTTTTGCATTGAAGTCAGTGGGGGGCGTTTTTTTGCATTGAAGTCAGTGGGGGGCGGTTTTTTGCATTGAAGTTAGTGGGGGGCGTTTTTTTGCATTGAAGTCAGTGGGGGGCGTTTTTTGCATTGAAGGCAGTGGGGGGCGTTTTTTTGCATTGAAGTCAGTGGGGGGTGTTTTTTGGGTTGAAGTCAGTGGGGGGCGTGTTTGCCTTGAAGTCAATGGGGGGCGTATTTGCGTTGAAGTCAGTGGGGAGCCTTTTTGCATTGAAGTCAGTGGAACGTGATTTTGCATTGAAGTTAGTTATCATTGTGTGCACATTTTTTTCCTTCTCTATCAGTAAAACGCTGATAACCCCATTTTCAGCTGATAATTTTCGGTAGCCAATATATCTGTGCATCACTACCTGCTTCATCAGTAAATTGTTTTATTAGCAACTGTATTTGATACAATCCAAATTGTACAGTTAACTTCTATTTAGAAGACTATCATGTGACTATTGTCATTTTTATCCATACATATAAAATTTGAGAACGATTAAGTATTCCTACTGTATTCTATTATCCTGTGATTTCTGCCTGAATACAGAGAGGTCTGTCAACAACAGCATGACACATAACCCAATGACAGCTGTGAATACATGTGACTGGGATGCTGTTATCTCAGTCTGAGCATCACACTTGACTCATCAACTTGACTGTGTAGGAAGATAGTGAAGCTTTAATACTGTCAGATCCATTTACTTTTCTATATAGTCATGACTGCTGTTATTGTGCATTTGCTTATTAGTGGAACAGTTCTAATTACTCACAACACATATTTTATCCTTTGAGGCACATTTACAGTCTTATCTTATGCTGTTTCATTGGCTTCATTTGCATTTGAAGCAAACTTTAGCTTCCTATAGACTTCTATAGGAAACCATTTCACCTTTTTAATTTTTTTATTTTATTTATAAAATTCCATGATTTCTTTTCCCTCAATTTCTTCATCAAATATTTCCCTGGTTTGTTCCATCATCAATATCTTTTGCTTTGAAACCCCATTAAAAATCTTCCTTGTTTCCTGTTCAATAAGTTCCTTTAACTCCTCTCTTTTTAATATTCCAATACCACCTCTATGCTGATGACACCCAGATCTTTCTTTCCACTCCCCAGCTCACCCCCTCAATCTCCTCACGTATCACAAATCTACTAAGTGACATATCAGCATGGATGTCACATCACTACCTTGAAGTCAATCTTTCAAAAACTGAGCTTGTAATATTTCCTCCTCCCTGATCCCCCACTCATGACTTTACCATTAAGGTCAACAGCACAACCATTGGTCCTTCCCCTCATGCCAGGTGCTAGGTGTAATCCTAGACTTTGACCTCTCCTTTGGGCCCCACATCCAATCACTGGCTAAATCCTGCCACCTCAACCTCCGGAACATTTCCAAAATCCGCCCCTTCCTGACTAATGACACCACAAAACAACTTATCCACGCCTTGATTATATCCCGCCTCGATTACTGCAACTCCCTCCTCACTGGTCTACCGTTAC